CCATAAGAAAGCAGAAAATACTTGATGAGGACTCACATTATGTGGGCAGTACTCAGTAGCTTGATAAAACGTTAGTCCTCGAGGCATCTTGTCATGAACAGTCAGACTGCAACACTTCTCCATCCCTGTATCAATAGCTTTGTTAATCATGTGCAGAGGGAAAGCACACACTCCTGAATACTTCTGTGGCATCGTGCAGTCTGGCTGGCTTTCGGCAAACACGCCAAAGAGAACCAGTTCTGTCTCACTGGTCCCGATTGCTTGAGCCAGCTTGGAACCAGGACTGGTAGCATGAGCTGCCTGCAAGACATTGAAAACTACAGCTTTAGGCATTGCGCTAAGACTCCTCTTCCGCTTAGACTGAATGCGACAATCCAAATTCAGCTCTCGGTACTTGCGAAGCTCAGTCTCTTCAGTGCTGAGCCGCACTATCCTAGTGTGGTATGATTTAGAGCTAGGATCTTCTCTTTGGACTGTCAAAAAGTATACAAACTGCTGGTGATTAAAGGAATACACATAGTCAATAAGGTATGTGCCTTGATACTTGGGCAGCACAGTTAAGGAGTGGAAAGGATAAGCAAACCCATCCAAGGTACTCTTCAGTCTCCGTATAGACACCGATTTGGGGCCGTATGTGTCCGCTATGGTTGCGCCGATGGTAGATGCAATATAAAAGTATGAAGCAGATGCCATTTCAACAACTACAGTTCTTGTGCCTAAGGGACTGGCCACACAGTCTGGACACTCAGAAGGTCTGTCCTGCTGAGATGAATACAAGCATGAGGTTTTCTCAATGAAAGCAACATCACCCTGTATCTTAATCTCATGCTGGAAACAGATGCCATGTTGAGAACTTCCACAACTGTAAAGCCAAGGTTCAAAAGGATCCATCACCAAAACTTTGTTGTCTGTGTTTTCAAAATCCACTGGTCCTTTCACTGGACAGAGAGTACAGATCTCACACTCAGTGCTGCCCCAGGGTCCAGTTACTAGAGTAGACAGAATTTTCAGTTCTGGGCTCAGCATGTAAATCTTGTTCTGAGCTGCAACAAAGATAACATTACCAGGCTCATATGTAACTATATTCTGGATAGCAGATGTTGCTCTGAATGTAGGGAAGTCATATTTCACTGTATAATCTCGAGTCAGGTTATAGGAGATATGTGGGCATTGCCAAGCCTTCCCAATGATTCTGATGGGCAACAGTCCGAGTGTGAAGCAAACAAGAAATGATATGCCCATACTAAGGAGGTAGAAGTAAAGCAGAATCCTGTTTTCAGAAGCTACCTCAGTTCTTCAGTTCTATGTGGCTCTGCAACCCATCCAGAATACTCTACCATTGCATTACAGCTGAAAAGGGGGAGAGAGAACATGGATGAGACAGAAATACAGAAATAAAAAGATAACATTTGTCTTTTCCCTTCGCTGAGCCTTTCCAAGAATTTTTTCCTAGCTATCATTGCATGGCTGAGGTTTCATACTGCAAAGCAATCCACCCCTAAAGATTTTCCTGCATGGAGGACTTGCTCCTAAAGGCTCACCACTCTTGGGTAAGACCTATGTAGATGTATGCTATCAGTAAGCAGTCATGTAGGGAGAAGCCCTGCTGATGTCAGAAAAGGAACTGCACTCTATGCAAGTTTGCATATCATACCATCTCTTATTTTTAGGTTGGTTCCAATGCCCTCCAGGCAATCTATGTCCACAATGTGGGATATATACAGTACTGTGCAAATGTTTTAGGCAGGTGTGAAAAAATGCTGTAAAGTAAGAATGC